ATTGATGTCTAAATCAACGTACGTTTTGGGCACATCTTATTAAGATTAATTTGGGCACAAATACTGTGCACAAAAATATGTTAATAAAATACTTTGAAACCATTAGGTGGTGAGGAAAGGATTGACAACTAAGGACAACATTAGTTTTTAATGAATGGTCAATATAACGGACGTGTATATTAACTGTTCCTAAACATTGCGGGGGTGCTGTAACAGTGAAATATGTTCTGAATATAGTGAAGAAGAGTCCTGTTGATGCTTCAAAGTAACTGAATATCGTGCTGAGAGAGTGTGGAGGGGAAGACAGTTTTATTAATTTAAAATAACGAAAAAATACACAGAATTTTTTTTTATTTTGCAGAGGGTCGTGGAAGAGCTCTTAAAATTTGTGCAGGGACCCGCAGGAGGAGACGAGTTTTGGAGGATCCAGATACTATTTTATTAAATTGAAATAACAGAGATAGCTATAAAACTTTTCGTCATTTTACGTGCGAGCATCGGGGGTTAAGAGCCGCCTGCGGGCATGGGGGGAGTGGTAATGTGGAGAGTCCTGCCTGGATAACTTCATTATATAGTAAGATGTGTATTTTTAATAAATTATGACTTTTTTCATTAAAATAAGGGTACAAAATCTTCATGCTGTATACAATAGCTTGCAGGTTTATCGTATTTTTATCAATCTCAAGCACTTATTTTGGAGCTTAGCAAAAAAAATTTGATTTTTTTATGTAACTTGCTCGATCAGCAAAATAAAAAGTTAATTGAGGCTCCCATTATGTGAGAAATGATATTGTTTTCTCTGTCGTAAATCAACGTCTCAAAAATTCACCAAAATGCAACAATTACTCAAAATTGAGAGTTATAACTACGAAATTAGAACATCGATATAATACTCTGAATACTGTAACATATAAATTTATTCAATTTTATAATTCTACATTGCATTTGGTCATTATCACGAGGGAAGAAACCGCGACACGTTACTAATTCAATACATACAGAGATCAAAGTAATAAAGAAGACTTTCACTAAATAACGATGTGAGAATTTTTTCATAACACTAGAGATTCAAATCAGTTTGTTGGACGAGGTTGTAATCTCAATAAAATAAGCGCATTAAAACGATACTTATAAATCCTCTAATAGGTACTATGCAAAACGTGGACGGAGGCCAGTAACACTCGAACGAGGCAACACAAGATGGTTGTGCAGCCGTAAAAATGAGGCCGTACATATTAATTAAACAAAGGGTTGACTCTCTAGCATAACTAGCCATGCCAAGGTAAGCACTGGCTCGCTGATAACCAAGGAGTGATTTTTAAGCAGCGCTTGAAGAGAACTCGAGCTCTCATCTCAACGAAGCTCCAGAGGAGACACACACACGGTTATAAGAGCGCATAAATCTATAGAAATATATTGTATTAAACAAAATCAAATGCAGCTGAATGTTTCACTGATTATGTAAAGTTAGTAAAAAAACAAACTTGAAACAAAAGTAAAAAGTACAATTTGATGATGGGTAAAAATACTTAAGCAAAATAATTTACAATTGTATAAAATTTAATGATATTAAACTATTACCTTCCTGATAACGAGTATTTTTGCTGTTACTTCCTGACTTATTATCCTAGGCAATATCGTAATGAAACTTTTGCAATCGTCTCCGCTCAATGAACCACTATCTCTTCTCTCCTCTATTTGATCCATCTAAAAGGAGATTTGCGTCTAGGATAAAAAATAACATTAGATTTATTCTAATTTAGCGTCTAGTATTTATTTATCCAATTCTTTCTCTTTCAGTCTAGTCTCTTTCAGTCTAGTTACAGCACTTGTAGACAGCTTCTTGATTGGAACAGCAACGCATATACACACTTGCATACTGGTGCTAGCGAATACACTCAAACAAGACGTGCTAGCCTCTCACACTAAGTCCGTATAACGGAAGCTCTGGATTAGGTCCCTATTTGGACTCTTAACTTTTCGATATTTTACATCCTGTATCATGACGCTCACAAGATATTTTTTCGCTCACCTGCTCTCTTTTTCTCTTTGTCTGCTCTATTCTACCACTACGATCTCAAATCTCTACTCTACTATTTTCTGCTCTATTCTACACACACTTTCATGTCTCCAATCTATCAGGCCCAACTAAATCTTACTCTGCCCCGCTCTACTATGCCCTTTCTCTAGGTAAACCTACGTGTATTGTGCAGCCTAGTGCCTGCGCCAAACTATAAACCCCATGTACATTCTATCAAGTCCAGAGATGTCTTCGAGAAATCTCGTCTTTTTGAAGCTACCACAAAAATTTGGTACCATAATATCGTTCGTACATCCTCTCTCTCTTCTTCTCTTCCTCTCCCGATCTCAACCTAATGTATCTTTTAGGACTTCTCGAGTGTCAGGCCCGTTGCGTCGAAGAGACAAACATGAATCCAAGATACTGGTCAGAATTTATGAAAATAGAAGCTTATTCAAAAAATCAAACTATAGCTGACATAATCGAAAATTGATCACTTTATAAGATATTTTTTACTATTAATTAAGTTCTCGCTTGGGTTTTGGTGAAACATTTCGAATTAAAAAAGTATATTAATGAGTAAAAACTTCAAAATTTTTGCTTTGCTTCACAATGTCTTTATTAATCGCAGACAGCTATTTCGGCATTTACGCTTTTGTCAGATGCTCGACATACACTGAATAGTCTATGTACATCAGTTTGCTTCAATCTAGTACAAGTGTTATAAATGTAGTTGTCGTTCTACGACTATCAGTAAACGTATATTCTACAATATATATGTATTCGTGAATATGTACCTTATGAGACGCTGTGTGTTGCATTTTCTACTATCAGAGATAACGTAAGATTAATTTGATCGTTTGTTATAAATTTATTTTGTTTTTTGTTATTTCTGTTTCTACTGTCTCAAATATTCTTTGGTATAAAGTTTAATGTTAAACAATCAAAATACACAATAAATAGGATGATAGAGCCAAGTTATAAAGATAAGTTAGTCATGTTGAACATGGCTTTAAGATATTTGTTAAATATCTAATACTTAATATTTGCTAAATTTTTTTCTCAAATTTAATGCTGATATAAAATACAAAAAACTAATAATTGCAAGATGCGTTAAAGTAATAGAAAATACAATAAAAGTAATTATAACCTAGAAAAATCTAATCGTATAACCGTAAGAAAATGTAAGAATTAGGAAATTGAGATTTTTTAATTTTATAATAATGAACTCATAAGTAATAAACCCGAAAATAATATAAGAAAAGAACAAAATGTATAAAAAATTCGAAGTCTAAGATAAAAAAAAAAAATAGTAATAGGAGAATCAAAAAAAAGTCATCAAATAAAATACGATAATCTTATAACACATGTAATATAAATTAATTATGTAAACGCAAACGTATCAGTAACAGCTCAGAAGGCAATACATCTGAAAGAAAGCAAAAATAGCAAAAATCTGTGAATATTAAAATACAAAAATTAAATTAATAATTTTACGAGGGTATCATTGGAAAACCAAAATTCAACGAATTTTTAATGTCAAATGAGTATATAAGGAAAACAATGCAATAGCCTTAGCTGTTATTTTTTATAAATTATAAATAGTTTAAGGCATAAACATAATTCTATGAAATCTTAAATAATGCATTTTTAAAGTTTGCGGTCAAATTAATGATAAAAAAAAAGTTTTTGAAATGTTGCGTACGATAGGATATAGCTATGCGTGCGTGCGCCTTTACTGGCTTGTGCCCAAAAGGTAGGGGAATAGAGAGGAGAAGCGATAGGAAAAGGAGAGTGAAGGGACAGAGTAAAGCGAAGATCAGCTAGAGACACGAGAGCCGAAGGACTGAGCTCGTGAGATTGNAAGAATAGCAAAAAGACAGAGTAAAGGGGAGATTAGCTAGAGACGTGAGAGCGAAAGGACCAAGTCAGTGAGACTAGAATACAGGCGCAACTTTCCTCAACTATAAGTTATTCTAATAAAGCATAAGTTAACAACAAGTCACGCTTTTATTTACGTTGAGGAAGTTTACCTTGCACGATTTATTAAACTACTGATAAAAATTGATAAAGATCTGAAAATGTTTGCATCTCACTTTTATGATAGCTTTAATGACAATATCAAAATACAAGAAAAATAGTTAATATTACAATAATGCCTATGTAATAATAAAAATACATTATCAATAAAATTAATACTACTTACATCTAATGGCAATAGACAACTTCAAAACTCGAAACAGGTGCAAGAAGAAGTAATAAAGCTATGTATAAGATAATATATTTGTATGTATCGTGTGCAAGACAAGCCAGCCAAAATTTTTATCTGAAACTGATGAATTTTTTGTAACTTGTAGTATAACATTTAAAAATTGTGTATAATTATTGTGTGTCGTCACATAATAATTGAACACGGTTTGTATCAGTAATAGTATAAACTGTACTTAATATACTATTTCAGGAATTAGTCTTTCAAATAAAGTGTCTTCTTGATCAAAAACTGTAACAGAACCAAAATCAAATGTATGCACACTTCCTCATGTGCATACAAACAGCTGAATATACTTTTTCAATACTACAATTATTTTGATACTGTTTAAGTCATTTTTAACTTCACAAAATGGTTAACAAACATTTAGTTTTGTCAAACGTAACAATTAAAAAAAAGTGACTCCTTAACCAAGCCTCGAACCTGGACCTCTTTCTTGCCAAGAAAGTGCGCTACCAGTTTTTCCACCTAGGTCCAAATTAACGTTAAATAGTACCAGAAATAATAAATTTTTGTTTTTAGTTGACTATATTATCATACAAAACTGGTATTAAGTTCTAGGATTCGATTTTTTATTGGCACCTTTAATTGAAAGATAACAAGCTACAGAAACAAAATTTTTTTAACAAATTTCTGTACAAAATGATGCGGAAAGGTGAATAGGATAAATAGTACGTACATGTAAAACAATTTCTTATAAATTATATTTACCTATCTGAAATGATATCAGCCAAACTATTGGGATCCATGTCACTTAGCATCTCAAGATCAGTGTTGCCTGGGACAGATAGTTGAGAAGGCTCATGATGTAGAGAAGATACTAATATTTCAATTGGCATTCTGCAATCATTACATTTTTTGTTGATTTTTGAGACAGAAGTTTGAGAACAATGATCGGTATCATCGAAGAACATCAGATGAGGTGTTAAAGTTTTTAGTTTAACTGCAGTCCATTTTTCATTTTGATCAAGAATCATTAAAGGTAACTTTTTATCTAGCGTCGCAAAATATTCTTCATCATCTATTTCAGTACCTAGAAAGAAATTTGTCTTCAACGTAAGTCTGATACTTAATACTATTTAATATCAAAGGACAAATCACTTGTTTTTATTTAAAAATTATCACTGATTTGTACTGTTACGGTAACAATTAGGTGTCTTCAAAACAAATTTTAAATTATTTTTAAAATTATATTTACATTTATTAAGATCAGAAATATTTTTTTTAGTTACTTTTATAAAGTTGAAATTATTTTTTTTCAAATCCTGTGAAAGTAAAACAAAAAACTTCATCTATCCCCAATACAATCAAAAACATAATATAAGGCTGTAACTCTTTGGGAAAAAACAATAATCATCGTAAAACTAATTTGTGTACGAATTGTCGTCGTTATAATATTACTTTTGTTATTTATATTGTAATAATAATATTNTCATAATAATTTTTATTGCTACAAAAATAGGTATTATTATAATTATAATGCTTAGATACTTCAAGGCCCAAATGATGGTCGATATTCGATTTCAAAGACTCGGGTGGTAATGCTATTAAAACCTTATCAAAATTACAGTTTCATTACCGAGAGTAAAAATAAAGTACCTCTTAGTAGTTAATGGTTGTTTAAATTTTAACAAATATTGGTTAATAAAAAATAGGTCTTGTATTATTGTTGAATTATTGTGCTTTGATACAAAGTTAAAATATATTTTTGACAACACTCACAGAGATAGTAATAAAGCATATTTAGGAATAAAAAAAACTTAATGATCCTGACAAAACAAATTTCAATGAAATAAATTTATTGACTTTAATAACAAATACACTAAGAAACAATTACGTAACACAAATCGCACCCAAATTTCATATTCAGTGTTTTGTAAGAGTAACTTGTACTCATAATTTACTAGTTTAGCTGATCTTTAAAAAACTTAATGTTGTAATCAGAAAAATTGCGAGTAATAATAATGGTTAAATATTTTTTAAATGTATTGATAAATAACATACGAAGTCAATATACTTTGATGTATGTATAAAAGAAAAAAAATGTATTTGTAAGTTTTCAACGTTGATAAAACTGGAAAAGGATTGAGTTGATAATACAGATAAATGTAATATTGAATAATAATAACTGTAAGACTTGTTAAACGGGCCAATCTTTTTGAAATTCAAAAACTGGAATATTCGAACTTAAGTGACCCAAGATATTTGAGAAAAAAATCTGTATAAGTGCAACATTTAGAAAGAATCGAAGCATTTATTTATTTTGACTACATAAAAATACAATATACTGAAAACAATTAATTCAATGGATAATTATTAGAAATATTGTATATTTTCATCAACTCAAACAATATTACCACCATAATAGGTACAAATGATTTAAAAGTATATTACAACAATTTTATTAAAAAAATTATTCAAAATGTTAGATATATCCACAATGTAGTAGTCGTTATGTTTTCTAATCACTAAGGTTATTAGCCTTCATTATTTTACGGGCACACATATATAATATACACATGTATAAGCAGCGTCTATATAAGACCTGTGCAAAAAGTTTCAAATTGTTGTATTTGTCGCTTTACCATCTTGCGTGTAGTCACTGTCGAGTGACGTGTACACGATTGTAAGTTTCAGTAAAAATTTAAAAATTGTTTCTGCTTATAAAATTTTATTTGCATCAATTTTTACGTTCGTAGATTTTGTACTTGATAAGGGCCTTTTTATTTAATAACTGTAAAGGAAAAAATGTTGTTAATTACTGAGAATGAAAAAAAAATTTAATAGGATAACCAACTGAGTTATTTTTTTTTTAATTTTGAATTTCCAACTATTTTTCTACTATGAAACTCAATAACATACGAAAAAATGCACACCTATGTGCTTTTCACTAAAATTATGTAGAACCTCAGTTCAGCTTTCTTTTTTTTTTTTTTTTTTTTCAATATATTTTACAGACATTTCGGAGAACTATGCTCAGTAGCCTCTGCAGTGCTGTGTTACTGTGCATATATATGCTATCGTCATTGGCATAGTCAAAAACCGTCTCAGATTTAATTGTGTAATCAATCACTAACACAGCAAAAAGGACCTTATTTTGCATGGCTTCTAAACCATCAGACCACGGTTGAAATACACACATGAGAAATTAGATTTTCAGAGGTGCGAGTCAAGTGAGAAAAGGCTGAGTCTTGAACTCGTGAGCATGCGTTACCAAGCCCCTTGACCTACAAGAACTGCGTCTAAGCCATCGGATCCACTAATCTATACCTCCTAACAGTATTTCGCATTCACCCAGACCGGGAGACCTGTGGAGCATGGAAAAACCTTGGAGTTACTCTGAAGGAAAATTCCACGGAAAAACCCACCCCAAAATAGCCGGGGTTACATAGGAACTTTTCCCGATGAAAACAGAATCGAACCTACAACCCCTAGAACAACGTTGTGTCAGTAACAAGCACGCTTACCACTGAGCCAATGCCGCTCCTAGTTTGTTCTTATATTATTATGTATGAGAATATCACGTTAATTAAAAATTTACTCTTGTTTTGCTTTAAAAACGGCAACAACTTTTTGACTTATCGTTACTGCAAATTTTTTTGCTTTCATACATTGCAACTGGTGGCAAGAAGGTTGTTTAATGTGGATATCCATATTTTTTGTAAGATAGTTTCAAAAACATTCACTTGAAAACTTTATTCTTTTCTAACTTTAACTTGAAAAACTATATTTTATCTCATTCGGATTTTACATGAAAAGACAGCATCTTTGCCCAGTAAAGTGACTATTAGCCTTACCGTTTACCTAGGCTTTACTTTTAAATGAATTTAAGCTTAGTGGTATATTAAAAACGATGTTGCTCGTAGTGCGCGCACGATATATCCAAACCAGAAAATAATTATTTTGTTAGTTATTTATTAGTCCAAGACGAACTCTTTGCCAGCTTTAGGTATAAACTGGATTTAGTGACGTCGTACTAAGAACATATAAGAAATATGCATATTCCTGCACAGACAATGCTACTTACGTTTTTGGAACTTTTAAGGTCGGGACACGTAAAAGTATAATTGAAAAAGGAGTGTAAGTAGCTAATTGTTGACTATCGTAGTCAGCACTGCAGAAATAAGTAGGTTATCACAAGAAATGTAGTTAACAAAATCTTTAAACTATTAGATCGAAACTGAACTTTTTTCGTTGGAACTTGTAGGATACAATCTACTAGACTTAGGATGTAGTAGGCTATCAGAATTTTTGATATTTCTCTATAGTTTTTTACTGATTTTTTTTGCAGTAGCGTCAGGAAAGACCAAAATAAAGTAGAAAGTAAATTCAAAACTTAACAGTTGAGTCAGAGAAAGCAGTCTGTAGTGTGTGGGAGCCAAGACATAGTAACACTTAAACTCAGTACAAAATGAGCATTTACGCTTGTAAAGAATCAGATAATTTTCTTAATCTGGTTTAGAAATAGATGAAAATTTTATGCTTCAAAGATTTCTACGTAAAACTACAATTTGAATGTTAGAATACCGTTTAAAAGGCATTCAAGTTGCTTATACATGCACGAACTGAGAGAAGGATTTGTCAGTAATTAACTTAAATGTTAACTGTTAACTTACGTATAATATGTATCCCGCATGGTGCCATCTGGCAAGGCGCAGGTTCCACGTAAATATGGCATGTTAACTATTCACACACCTTCTGTGTCAGTTGAAATTTAAAAAGTTGTAAACAACATGTAAACTTATTTTCTGTTAACATAGTGGTACGTTGATAGTAAACAAATCTTTCTTTCAGTGCATGCTCATACTCGCTACTGAATTTCAATATATATTGATTTATAAAATTTAAAACATTTGTGCAGCGGCTAGACCATTTTTATTATCATAAACGCATACAGTGCCTTTAAGTGCCATCAACAATTTACGTATGATTAAAATTATTTCTTGATTACTTAATATTCGTAAGGGATTGAAAAATAAATATTAAACATTTGCTGTTACGAAAGCTTGCCCAGAGGATTGTGGGAGGCCGCAGTGTGCAGTATAAAGTATCACCTCACTCGAGTCATAGGAGAAACAAGGCTAACATTCAAGGAGCTGTCGACCTTGTGCGCAAAGATCGAAGCCTGCCTAAACTCCAGGCCGCTTTGCCCTCTCAGCAACGAAGTCTCTGCAGAGCTCGCTCTTACGCCATCGCACTTTCTTGTCGGTTCTGCGTTACTGTCTCATCCCGAACCTTACGACAAGTTGCAGCAACCAATTCGGCTGAGCAGTCACTGGAAGTTGCTGTCGGACCTACGCAACTCCTTTTGGACTAGCTGGAGAAAGAAGGTACTCCACCATCACTTAAAGCGCAACAAACGGCTGAAGCCCCAACCCAATATCGCCAAGGGCAACGTCGTTATTATCAAAGACGAACTCTCACCCCCAGCTAAGTGGCTCTTGAGATTAGTTACCGCTACGCACCCAGGTGCTGACGGACTTGTATGAGTCACTACGATCCAAACGGCCGACACCAAGTTTGATCGACCAATCGTTAAGCTTATAAAATTGCTGGACGAGTCAGAACTGAATGAGTGTTTCAAGGACGAAGTGAATTAGTGCAACAAACTGTATTAGCTTAATGTTAGTGAAAAGAAAAGACTGATTGCGATTTTGGTTTAATACTGTAGAACAATTTGTTGAAAACAATATGTAAAATCACTACTAACTCAACCGCAACATAGCTTCGTGAGTAGGGTAATTTACTAACATGATCAATGCTAATTCGTCTCTTAATTTTAATTTTATTCCCTTCTAATTGATATTTTGTAATCACATATGTAATTCCATCTGTATTTACACTTTTAAAGTCACTTAGAATTCTACTTGGAATTCCACATGGGATTTTGGATTGGAAACTCCAAGTGTCATTCCAAGTGGAATTACAAATGACCACTAAAGGTACATTTTTTCATTTTTTTAAATAGTTGAAATTTAAATTTCAAGCGGTTTAGTGGCAACATTGGGTGTTATCATCCATATAGTAACACCA